CTCCTCAATCGGTGCTTGACATATTCCCCCTCATTGGTTGTCCTTGCTCCTCCTCCTCCTTCGTCCTTTTTCTTCCAGTTCCTTAGTCCTCCTTCCCTGTTCCTCAGCATCATCATCATCAGCATCATTATCAGCATCAGCATCATCATCAACAACACCATCATCACCATTAGCATCACCAACATCATCATACCATCATCATCATCATCATCATCATCATCATCATCATCATCATCATCATCATCATCATCATCATCATCATCATCATCATCATCATCATCATCGTGATCGGCATCATCCTCATCAACAACATCATCACCATCATCATCATCACCACCACCATCATCATCATCATCATCATCATCATCATCGTCTTCAACGACAGCATCGCGAACGGGGCAATGCAGACGTGCGAAGAGGACTGCGCACGCGGACAGGCAGGTGGAGAAGGCCACGACGATGCTCCGAGCTGGGCGAAAGGATTGAGGCGGAACACGAACAGGGGTGCATCGAGGCTCGCTTCCGCGGGCGGCTTACGCGTGCAAGGTCGTCCGCATGGCGCCATCGGTGATCACCAAGTGAAGGAGCAGGTTTGCAGGCGTGGTCGCGCCTCGGCTGAGCGGACGTTGCCTCGCCACTCTGCTGCATCTGGAGTTGGGGCGAGGCGACCCTGGGCACGGGGAGTTTTTTTCGCTGGTGGACTCTTGGATGCACATCATCTGCGAGGACAAGAGGAGGCGCAAACTTAGCTGATCTGGGGGAGGATCGTCAAGGATAAATAGGCCAAGGGGGAGCGCGATCGATGGCGAAGGGTGACTGGAGTCATTGGAGCTATGGTCTGCACGCTGATGGACCTGGGTTGGGCACCCCGCAGCACATGGCACTGGGAGTTGGACGGCGGCGGGGTCTTGGGAGCCAACGACCCAACGACGCTAGACGACGAGGTGGGCACCACCAAGCTGAATGCGGCGCTCGCGGACGCCACTGAGCGGAAACAATGGACCCAATCAGCTTAAGACTACGGGGGGGGGCGGCGCGGACCCCACTCCGCGAGGGGCTTGCTGAGGAGGCTCAAGCAGCAGAGGAAATGCGACAATGTCGGGGTCACTGGTGGTATCTGGCTGAGGCAGCGGGTCGCCGACATGGGGATCGTGATCGAGAGCGCGCTGTGCGCCAGGTGCGAGGAGGGGCCAGAGATCTGGGAGCATGGCGCGTGGAAGTGCAGGTGCAATGGCATCTTCCCCGAGTGCGAGATGTCCAAACGCTTGCGGCGGTCGAGGCGGAGGTGGGCGTCTACATCGACGCGCGGCGTGTGGAGCTGCATCGGCGGTCGTCCTCGGCGGCGTTTTCCGCTACCTTCGAGCGCCGCCGCGTGCGCGTCGACTGCGTTCTGGGGCGGACCGCTGAGGTGGAGCAGTGGAATGCGTCTGCAACGTCGTCCACAGATCGTCGATTCGTTTGGAGACTGGCACGACAACCGAAATGCCAGACGTAGTCTCAGTCTGCTCATTGTTGGTGCGTGAATTCCCCTGGCGCGCATACACAATGGAATGCTGGGGATGCTGAAACGCAGTTGCTGGCGCCCGATGCGCCTCGGGACCACTTGGTCCGCCGAGCGCGGCTCCTATCTCTTATCATGCTCGTGACGCCAGGCGGGTCCGAGGATTGCGCATGTCTGCGACGAGCTTGCCGCTGCCGTGCTCGAGCGCGTCGCCTCTTTTCACACGGCGGCGATTGGCCGCCGCTGGTGTGGCAGCGGCGCCAGTCTGGTGCCAGGCCAGTTCTCGCGGGTGCCGAGTGGACGCGGCCTGACGCCGCGGGCGAAACGACGGAGGAAGCGTTCGGGATCGAGCGGCCTTGGAGCTCGGGCTCCTGACCGTCTTACGTACAGTGGGGCATTATCATCATCGTCATCATCATCATCAGCATCATTATCATCAGTATCATCATCATCATCATCATCATCATCATCATCATCATCATCATCAGCAACATCACCATCATCATCATCATCATCATCATCAGTATCAGCATCATCATCATCATCATCTTCATCATCATCATCATCATCATCATCGTCATTATCACCATCACCATCATCATCATCATCATCACCATCATCATCATCACCAGCATCATCATCATCGTTGTCGTCGTCATCATCATCATCATTTAACCGTTATCATCATGATCCGCATCATCGCCATCATCATTGTCATCTTTCTTCCTCCGGAGAGTGACAGGCTCCTCTTCGTTCTCGTTATTTATTTTCCTTTCTCATTACCTCCTCCTTCCTCCTGTTTCTTCATTCTCTTACGTTTCATCCCCGATCTTTCCTCCTCACCAGAGGCGTGCGGGATTCAGATACCCACTTGTGCTGTTGGGCATTCTTGTTGAATCCGCAGCACCGCGCGCGTCCCACCTCCTCATCTCCCCCTACTCCTCGTCTTCGTCCTCGTCCTTGTCCTCGTCCTCCTCCTCCTCTTCCTCGTCCTCCTCCTTCTCCTTCCCTCCCTCCCTCAATCCCTCCCTCCTCCCCATCCTCCTCCTCCTCCTTCTCTTCCTCCGTCCTCCTTCTCCTCTTCTTCGTCTTCCTCCAGTGGGCTAAGCAGGCTCTGGTGGGTAATGTGTCCTGGCTTTCACACATGCAGCGATATCCAAACAGCGTTAGCAGTCGGACGTTAAGGGACCAGGGCTGAAGTGGGTGCAGGTACAGTCCCATAGACAGGTGTGGGCCCCCCCCGCCTCCCTGTCATCCTAAACTTTTATTCGGTCAGCTGGGAGTAGGATCATTCGCTGGGGTCATACAGGACGGACCGCCCGCCTGTCCCCCGAATGGTCACGTTATTCCCAACTTTTGCATGATTTGGCCAGTAAGCTTCTCCAGGAACGTGGCGGTCGAGATCGGTCGGCCTCATAATCTCCGGCGCTTTGCTGTCCGGTCTGGGTCCACGGAACCGCATTGAGGAGCGTTTCATCCTCTTCCTCCTCCTCCTCTTTCTCCTCCTCCTCCTCCTCCTCCTGCTCCTCCTCCTCCTCCTCCTCCTCCTCCTCCTCCTCCTCCCCCTCCTCGTGCCCCCTTCCCTCCCTGCCGCTGCCGCCCTGACAATTTCGGCGCCCCGCTCACACGCCCTGTAAGAAACTTCGCCGATGGCCCCAGTTGGTGCGGCTGCAGGGCTACGCCGCGCCCATTTTGGCACACCCTTTGCGCGGATCGTGGCCCATAGGGTGCTCGACCTGTGTGGCCCCAGTGGGGTCCGCGTGGCGCCGCCGTACCCATTTCGGCACACCCCGTGCGCGGATCACGCCTCCGTGAGGAACTCGACCTGTGACCCCAGCGGGTGCGTCCGCATGGCGCCCCCCGTACCCGTTCTGGCACACCAGCGCCACGGGCGTTCTGGTCCCCACGTTCACTTCGGAGCGCGCCTCGCGTGGATCGCGGTCCCCACAGGGAGAGTTCCACTTGTGGCACTGTGGGCTGGTTGTTCGCCGAGATGATGGAGCGTGGCGGCCTGTCGCCGAGGAGCCGGGAGAAGGAGGGAAGCCCTCCTCCTCTTTCCGTGTCCCCGGCAGGCTCAGACGGTCGCCAGATGGCCCCAAGACCGCCTCAGACAGCCCCAAGGCAGCTCCGAGACGCTGCGGAGGGCGCCGCGCCACGACGGGATCTCCACGGCGGCCCAGGAGGGGCCCGAAGGCTCGCCAGGGGGCTCCACGGACGGTCCACGAGGACCCCGAGGACGGCCCCACGAGGCGAAAAGCCTGCAAAAACAGCGTGTGGCCCTATGGTTGTTCACACACTCCTCATGACGGGCCCAGACCGGTCCCAAGCGGCTCCAGGTCCTTCCAAGATCGCCCCAACTCACCACTTACCAAACTATTCCAACCCAACCCGAAGGCTTCAATTTGCCCTCCATTTCCAGTGGGGGGGGGGTCGGGGAACATTGAGAAAACACATATGGAATCCGTACCCCCCCAACCCGAAATTCGGGTCTTCGGGTTGGCTTAGGTAGTCAACAATATTGCTCAAAGGGCCCTGACGAGCCTACCAAGACGGCCCAAGAGGGCCCCAGAAAGGCCCAGGGCGTGCCCCGGAGGCCCCGGTATAACCTCGAGTGGCCCTCGAAAGCAGCCCCAGCCGAGTCTCGGGAGCTGCCCCAGAGGGCCCAAACTGATTCCCAGACGGCCTCAGACTGGGAGAGAAGGACGAAGCCGATGAGGAGAACGATGAGTATGAGGAAAAGTGGGGAGAGGAGAAGGATTACGAGGACGAGGAGGGCGAGGAGGAATGAGAGGAGTGGAACTACGAGATGGAGCGCAGGCATAGGATTAGCATGAGCCAGCTGCCTTAGACTAACATCTAAGCTTGCACGAAGCGCTCGCGTGGTTTTAGTTTACGATGGATGTGCGTGGCGCCCAGACGAGAGTCACATTTTGGAAAAGGCCGCCATCAATCCTTTTACCGTTACAGTTTTCAAGCTTCAAGGTCATAAGCGGTGAGAAAGTCTTAGGCGAAACGTCCTGACAGCCCGAATTACAGACATGCCTGGTGGCGTGGCGACGATGAGTTGTTTGAGAGGAGCTGGGATGCAGGAGTTGGGAGGAAGGGACGGAGGTTGAGCATCAGCGGGGGGAGGCAGGGGAGGGGAGGGGAGGCGGGGGAGGCGAAGGATACCGCCAACGACGAGGGAAACATTGGGATCCAGAATTTCGGACTGCGCTCAGGAGAGAGTGCCCTTCGTTTGAAAGGCCAGTTCGCGGGAGGGACGAGTAAGAGACAGTCGGTGTCAGGGGACACATGTTAGTAATATTCATCATGTGTAGTTACACAGAGGAGTTAGGAAACAGGATGAGGAGGAAGAGGAGGATAAGGATAAGGATGAGGAGGAGGATGACGAGGATGAGGAGCAGGAGCGGAAGCATGGAGCAGGTTCAGGAGGAGGCGTTCCCAGTGATATGACCCTCTCATGGATTCCCTACTGCTGCGCCAGCGCCTGGCCCAGGTCTGCCGCTTCGAGGCGAAGATGGCCCATTGCGAGCCTGAGGATGTGATGAGAACGTTCATTATAGGTTCGCCTCTCGATTCTTTCTTGCTCTGTGGCTCCTGCCAGTCGCCTTCCTCTTGGCGCGTCATTTTGAGATGACTTGATTCGTGTAGCGGTGACCCTCTTGGTCCTCCTAGAGGCTTATGTGATTCCTCTGGCAAGAAGGGGACTTCATGGCGATTTCATGGATCACTCGTTTACACCAGGGAGGGCGGCTTTGAGGAGGAGAGGGATGGTGATGATGATGCTGATGATGATGATGAGGAGGAGGAAGAGGAGGATAAGGAGGAGGAGGAGAAGGAGGAGTAATAATGACATACTAAGAATAGGAAGAGGACAATGAGAAACAGCACCACTAGTAGTAGTAGAAGTAGTAGAAGTCGTAGTAGCAGTAGTAGTAGTAG